CACAGGCTGGTGTGCTTCTTCCATGTGGGCTTTGTTGCTTCTGGGCTAGATGGCTGCTTGTTTACCTTCAAGCCTTTAAGATGCAGGTCTTTTCAGCAGCAACCCAGCACTCTAATCCTGGCACCACCCAGTCTTCTTAGGTTCTCAGACATACTAAAGAGGGCTCAGTCATGTGAACGGAACATGAAGCAAAAAAAGCAGGCTTACCTACTCAGGTGGCCTATGGTCCTCTTCACATTCTCCTAGTCCTGCCTGTCATTCCAGTAGCCTAATCGGAATACTTTCGCCCTATGGCTAATTTATGCTTTGATGACAAGTTAGTTAACTTTAATTGGATTACTTAGGTCCATACCCAGTACCACCAATTCTTGATACGATCCTCGAAATCTCTCTCAAATGTGTCCATTGCTCTCCATCAATCTAGTTTTGGCTACCATAAGCTCTTAGCAGAAGACTGCCATCGCCTATTGACTATTTGCCTCTTCCAGCTGTTCTTCAGTTGAAATCAGAGAGCTTTACAAACTGTGTCCTTGCTGTTAGTTGAGTTGGCTATGACTCAGGGCAATCCCACATATAACTGAAAACAACACTGCCTGGTTTTGTGCCATTTTTACAATCATTGGCATCATTAGTCCATTGTTGTAGCCACTGCGTAGGCCGAGTGCCATCTACCCTAGCACCATATCAGGTTAACAGTCTGTTGTGATCCATAGTTTTCACTGGCAAATTTCTGCAAGTAGATCACCAGGATTTTTCCCCCTAGCCTGCCTTAGTTAGTTTGGATGCTCGGCTAAAACCTGTCCAGGAGAGGCAACCCTGCTGGTATTGGGAGCCCTACAGTTCAAAACCACCAGCTGCTCTGCAGGACAAAGATGAGACTTTTTACTGCATAAAGATTTAGTTTCGGAAACCAACAGGGACAGTTCTACTCTGTCCTAGTGGGTTGCTGTGAGCTGGAATCGACTTGATGGCAGTTGAGTTTAGGTTATTTTTTTCCCCCTGTTATTTGAATACTTTCCTGGTTGTGTATACTTTCATAACAGGCTGAGAGAACTAGCCAGTAAGTGCAAGAAGAGTTCACAGCCAAGGCAGGTTATAATTCTAGTGGAGTGAGGTGAAGGGAAAGCTAGAATATCATGCCAGAATCTCCATAAGAACTCAATGACACTTGTTTCCAGAAACATGGGGCCTGTAACCAGTGCATGTATGTATTTCAGGCACACATGCAAACTCACAGCCAGCACCGGAGAGTGTAAAACACGAGTAGGCTGATTGCCACTGAAAATAACTTCTGCCCGCTTGTTTCCACTGATACATTACCAATGTCTGAAGCTTGGGACACTGGTCTGACCCTATCCCACAGTCCAGGCCACTGTTTCCCCTAGTCTAGCCTTTCATCTAGGAGTGTAGTAATTATACACTGGACTGTGACCCACAAGGTCAGCAGTTCAAAACCACCAACCTCTCTCAAGGAGAAAAATGGGGTTTTCTAGGTGTTGAAGGGATCAGGTAGCAAATACCAAAGAACAAAAACCATCATTGTGTGACCACCTTCCCCACACAAACGATGAAGATGAATGTGTGCATAGGTAAGTGTGGTGAAGAAGGCTGATGGTGCCCAGCTATCGAGACCTATAGCGTCTGGGGACTTAAAGGCTTGAAAGTAAACAAGCAGCCATTTAGCCCAAAAGCAACAAAGCCCACATGGAAGCAGCACACCAACATGTGTGATCGTGAAGGGCCGAGGGGACCAGGTTTCAAGCACCAAAGGTGGGGGATCATATCATCGTGAATGAGGGGAGCACGTGATGGGGACCCAATGCCCATCTGTAGACAACTGGACATCCCTTGCAGAGGGGTA